GCTGCCCTTTGGCCACGAGGAGCCCCCTTGTCACCTGGTGAAACCCCAGGGAGCCAGCAGCTGCTGTTGCAAACGTGGACCTGGTCCCTGAGAGTGGGCGGGTGGCGCTGTCTGCGTTCCCAGCAAGGGAGTGGGGCTGGATGGTTTTGTATTGCACATTGGGCCTTGTTCGCATGCTGCTGAGCGCACCAGCCTCAGAGGATGCGGATGAATCACGGGCCAGCTTAGTCAGCACCCCATGCTGATGTCTGGGCGCCCTCGGAGATGTCCAGCTGTCTCCACCCCCCTTCCCTGACCTCCCACTCAGGGCTGCCAGGTGCGGTGGTGCAGGCTGTGCCTTGTGCAAGGACACCTGACTGAGGGGTGAGTCGGAGTGAAATACGCTCTGCTTGCCAGATTGCCAAACATGCTCTGGCAGGGCACTGTATCTGTCTGGAAGATTCTGCACCCACACCTTTTCCTAATGTGTGCTAAGGCACTAGAGCCGGAGGCAGTTGGGTCAGGAGCGCTAGAAGTTCACAGCTGCCTGGGTGAGGTCACCTTGCTGAAGCCCAGCTCCTGCCCAGGACCTCTGCCTCCCTGGGGACAGGCCTGCTGGGCGGTGGGACGCCCAGGCTGCCCTGGAGCTCGTCTGCTCCCCTTGACACCATCCCCGGGCCATATGGGCTCTGCAGAGCTGCTGTTCAGGGCAGGCATCTGGGCCCACTGTGAAGGCTAAAGTTCCAGTCCCACCTCTGCTTTGTGCTGTGTACTTTGGTCAGCCCACTTCCCCTCTCCTGGCCTCACCTTTCCTCATCTGTCATACGGACCAGCTGCCCCCACTTGTCACTTGGACACTGATATCCTGTTCCTTGTTCTGAGCCTCAGTTTTCTGAAATATGGGCCTTTTGGAGACCAATAATAATGATGGTGATGCTGCCTGTTGTTTCTTGAGGGGCTCCTGGGGGCCAGGCTCTGCTAAGTTAAGTGTGTGTGTGGATGATCTGATTCTCAGAACAATCCCTGAGGTGGGCACTGTTACTATCCCAGTTTTCATAGGAGGAAACTGAGGCCAGAAGTTAATTAATTGCCCACCATCACAGAATTAGAAAGCAGTGGCACCTGGGGGTGCCTGGGTGGCTCAGTTGGTTAAGCTACTGCCTTCGGCTCAGGTCATGATCCTGGAGTCCCGGGATCGAGTCCCACATCGGGCTCCCTGCTCAGCAGGGAGTCTGCTTCTCCCTCTGACCCTCTTCCCTCTCGTGCTCTCTATCTCTCATTCTCTCTCTCTCAAATAAATAAAATCTTTAAAAAAAAAAAAAAAGAAAGCAGTGGTACCTGGATTTAAACCTGACTGTCTGCAGAGGCCCTTAGAGATCACCTGGTCTAGCTGCCTGCCTCCCCCTTCACACATGGGGAGACTGAGGCCTCAAGTGGGCAAGTGACAGAGCCACAGCCTCACCTAACAGAGCTGGGACTAGAGTGTGGGGTGCATTGGCCCTCCCTGGACAGCTGAGCTCCGCCCCTGTGCCAGATGCAGGGTGGGCAGAGGAAGGAAGGCGTGGGTGGGCGCCTCTCCGCTGAGGCTGGTTTGTCCTCTGCGGTTTGTGCATGTGAGAGAGAAGAGGAAACACACACACAGGGAGTCCACTGCCGAGGGGCTCATCATTTGACTTCATGGAGGCTTTCCCAGCAGATGCAAGTGCAGGCACCGTGAGACCTGCTCTGCCTTTCCTGGGAGTGTGACCCGGGGCACCCCACAGCACCTCTGTGAGCCTCAGTCTTCTCCTTCGCAAATGGGATTATAATACATACCTCTTGGGTTTTGAATGGGCCACGTGGTCCCCAGGGTGTAGTGAGTGATTAAGAAGGAGAGCTGTCAACAGTATGATTTGTTGGGAGGAGACTTTTCTAAGTGATTAGGAGTGTGGGCTCTAGAGCCACCCTGCCTGGATTCTGAACCCAGCTTGGCTGCTTTCCAGCACCATGACCTTGGCTAAGGCACTTTGCTTCTTGGAGCCTCAGTGCCCTCATCTGAAAAAGTGGAGTAGGTCCTACCTCAAGGGTTGTCCTGAGGATTAAATGAGATGATGCATTTTAAAGCTTTTAGCCTAGTGCCAGCACACAGTAGGTGCTCAGTAAATCAAACAGTAGGTAACATTTATTGAGCACTTGCTAAATGCTGGACATTATTAGTGTCATTTGTATTTCCATTACTCTTTCATTAGCAATTCATTTGGATTAGCAAACTTCTGTTCACTGCTCCGCAGGCAGTCAGCTAACCTGTCAGATCCACTGTCTCACCTTCCTGAAAGGAGAGGCCTAGAGAGGTCCAAGGTCACACGGCCAGCTGCCCAGTGCCCTATGTGGTGTTATCCAGCTAAGCCTGCCGCAGAGCCACCGCTCCATCTCTGCTTCCCTCCTCTGACACCCTCCCCTCCCCTCTCCTCCCCACGACGCTCCAGAACCAGCAGCTCTTCAGAGCTTGAGGCTTCATGAATGGCTTGGTTAAGCACTCGGCCGTTAAACGTTCATCTCTTACAATTTCATTCCAATTCCTATAAGTTTATTGGCAAGACGGGGTGTATTAGAGCTGCCAAATTTAATATATCAAGTCCATGTGTCTGGGATGCGGTTTCTCAGCAGTAATAGGAGAAGAGAGGTTTTATACGTTTTCATTTTGAATGACTGTCTGTTCCTGATCCCATTACTGCCCTTGACTTAGTGGCCACTGTCTCTGTCTGCCACGGGAACAGCCTTCTCTATCGACCCACCTGGCTGCCTGGACTGTCCAGGGGGCTTGTTTTTCTCTGTCTCTCTCCCCCTTCTCTTCTTCCCAAGATGCAGTCCCCCATCCATCTGCCCTGTGGTCAGGTCCTGGCCGTATCTTTAATTTGCCAAGTCCTGGGAGTCACGCTTTTGCTGTTAGCCTGGGTTGCTTACGGAAGTCACTTTCCTTCCTCTTCTGGGCCCCAGGAACCTGCAGTGGGAAATGAGGGATCAGACTATAGGACCTGAAGGGTGAGGGGCTAGTCTGGGCTCAGCCTTTGCAGATCCCACTTGACAACCCAGAGTGGACCCATTCATCCTCTGGTCTTGTGTCAGCAAACTGGGGGACCCAAGGGCTGGCCCTGACACTCAGAATTACCCCCTACCTGTGGCTGGAGATCTCCTGGGTCAGGTGTGGCAGCTGTGGGTCACCATGGCTGAGGGGTCCTAAGGGTCTTAAGACCCTGAAACATTCTCATTTCCCTCTCTGATTGATGAGGACCTGCCATTTAAGAGTTTAGCTAATCTCCTGGCGAAACTGTTTGCATTTCTGCCTGAGCCCTCTGGCTTCTGTAAGCTTTGAGCTGGCTCTGGAAGAGAGGACACCCAGCAGTGGGATTTTTAGGGCATCTGGGTTTTGTGTTCTGCTCTCCAGCTGTGTGACCTTGGGCAAATCACTTCCTTTCTCTGAACCTCAGTTGTCCCATAAGGAAAATGGGAATTAATCCATTTACTCAACAAATATTGGTTGCCTACTCTGCACCATGTGCCACTTTGGGTAGTGGGGCTTCAGCAGTCAACAAAATAAAAATATCCCTACCCGCATGGATTTATATTCCTGTTGGGAGAAAAAGGTAATAAATGTAACAAGTAACTTATTATTTCAAAGGTGATAAAAATGAAGCAGGGAATGGAGAAAGCTAAGTAGAGTGTTCTGCAATTTTAAATAAAGCTGTCACAGGAGATTACTGAGAAGATAGTATTTGAGTGAAGATGAAGGAATCATGTGAGCAGGGGTGGCAAGGAACAGCATCCAGGCAGAGGGGCCAGCACATGCAAATGCAAGAGGTGGCCAGGTGCCTGGCGAGTGCCTGGCAGGTGTGAGGAGCAAAGATGGGGCTGATATGGCCAGATGGGAGAGAGGGAGGTCAGAGGTGGCATGGGGCTGGGGGGAGTGGGGACGTGGCCAGAGGGTGTAAGGGGGTAGCTCTCCACCCTGGCTGCATAGGAGAATTTCCTGGGGAGCTTTACAAAAATGCTGGTGCCTGGGTCTCACCCTTGGAAGTTCTGTGGTCCACTGGCCCTGGGGTGGAGGCTGGGCATCAGGATTGTTAAAAGATCCCCCTGGAATGAGACCTCTCAGGCCATATTCATTGGCCCACGTAGGTCCTCCGGGCTGTTCTGGGGTTTAAATGAGGCGTGTGTAACCAGAGCCTTCCTTACACTGGCCTTCAGGGAGTGTTCATTTGGGGTGCTGTGCTGCCTGATGTCGTTTCAGAATGTAGGTGAGGTCCGGAGCTGAAGGACAAGAAAGAATTCTTGAGATGTCTTTGGTGCAAAAGAGGTGATCTTATTAAAGCATGGCAACAGGCCCCGTGGGCAGAAAGAGCTGCTACACTGGGGTTGTGAGGAAGGGCTGATTATATACTTGGGAGGTGGGGGACGTAGGAAAAAGGGGTGTCCTAAAGGACTTTCATATGCTAAAGAAGATATTGGAGGCCTGGCTATTGTCCAACTAAGGTTGTTTTTCCCTCTAGTAAGGCATTAACGTTAAGATAGTTGGGAGTTTTATATTAAGGAATATTATACTCTGCCTATCCCAAGTACTTGTCAATGGGCTGCAGGTTATAAAGAAGTTTAATTTTATTTACATTCCCTTCTGCCTTTGTTTCCCACATCACTATGGAGGGGAGGATGATGTTCAGACTCCCAGGAAATTGAGTCTATGGGTCTCTGAAATTTAGGCTACTGGTAAGAATGCCTTTTCCTTGTAAATCACTAAGATATTTGTACACTGAGGGAGACTCCTGTCCCCCAGGACTGTGATCTCTGTCAGTTAACCATTTGTTTCTCCCTTCCCTTAGTTTTAGGGCAGCCGGGAGTGCCCAAGGAATGTCACACAGGTCCCACCCAGGGGGTGCGGGGTGTCGCTTGTGCTTTGTCCTCAGCTTGCCTCCTGTTCTCTCATCACTGTGGGCTTCAGCGGGTGGTGAGTCCTCCCTACTCTTGACTGAGCGCTTTGGGCTTCCCAGGCAGCAGCAGCAACCCGGCTAGACGGCCATGGGGAAGCACTACTTCTGTGACTACTGCAACCGCTCCTTCCAGGACAACCTCCACAACCGCAAGAAGCACTTGAATGGGCTGCAGCACCTCAAGGCCAAGAAGGTCTGGTATGACATGTTTCGAGGTGCGTGCTGGCTGGCTAGGCAGCTGGGCCACTGGAGGCCAGCTTGCCGATCTTTCTTATTGGCAGACAAGGAAGTACCCATGGGCCAGCGACAGGCTTGGCCTGGGCTCTTGGAGGAGCCAAAGAGAGGAAGGCTGGGGCCACCGGGGCATCCTTAAGGGCAGATGGGCCGTCCAAGGGGCAGGCTGGAATGTGAGCTCCATCCCCCAGTAATCTTGACCGAGAGGAGGGCTCCATTTTGCCAGCCTTTGGGGATACTGTGGCCAGGAAGAAGGCTTTTCAAAGGAGATGATGTTTGAGCCAACAGTGGGAAAGATAGGGAGAAGCCAGCCGCAGCATTTTGGGCAGAGGGTATGCAGAAGCAGGCAGCCGTGAATAAAGCATCAGGTGCCGTCCGAGCAGAGGAGAGAAGGTGTGGCTGGACCCAGTAGGAGAGGAGGTTGGTAAGGGCTGAAGGCGGTGGCAGGGCTGGGGCCAGATTGTGTAAGTCTGCGGAGGCCACAGTAAAGAGGGCAGCTTGCCCCAGGGTGAGGGCCGAGGGCAGCCTTTGAAGGCAGTGGCCAAGAGCTACATTTGACAGTGATGCTTGCCTGCTGCGTGAGTGTGGGGTGCAGTAAATGGCTGTTGAATGACTGGCTGGCCGGATGAATGATCGAGCTCCCAGAGAGAGGGCTTTTCCAGGGAAAGGCTTCTCCGAGCAGGTGCCTCCGAAGCAAATGAGCTCCGGCCATAAGCACGTAGCACTGAGCCTGGCACCTTCGAGGTGCTCACTACAGGGGAGCTGCTGCTGCTGTCCATCAGACATGGACACTGAAGAACAGCGAGGGAGATGTTGGGGTGGCCAGCCAGGAGCCGATGAAACGGAGAGGGAGCTTGGTGGTGGGGTGGGGTGGGCCCAAAACTTCCAGCTTCCCCCACCGGCTGGGGCAGGGCCAATGCTTCATGAGTTGGGGAGCAGGATTCCCAGAGCAAAAGGAAGGAGCTGAGTCTCAGCAGCCAAGAAGGGAGGAGAAGGGGAGACAGAGTTCCCTGGTCTGAGAGTCAGAATTCACAAGAAGGGAGTGGGCATTTATGGAGTGTCTGCTGCATGCCGGGAGCCTTTTGTGGTTTGTCATTTGCTTCATCAGCAATTCTCTAAGGCAGAGCTCCACCCTTCAAGTTAGGATCACCCAGAGACCTTGAAATAAAAAACGCTGGTCACTCGACCCCACCCCAGAGGCAGGTTTGGGGTGGGGCCTTGACACAGTATTTTCAGAGCTCTCCCAGACTCATTTCTGAGGAGGAAGCTGAGGCTCAGAGGCTTGGGAGAGGGAGGGTGGCCAGGCTGCGCAGCAGGCCAGGCATGGCTGAGGTTGCAAGGGGCTGGGAGTGGGGACCGAGGGTTATTCAGTGGCAGAGGGCTCTCCTGGGTGCCAGGGAGGCCTCTGACTCTGGTGTCAGGCAAAGGCTCCCTGCCTCCCAAATCCAGTGGGGACTGTGATCTGGCAGGAGCCAGGCCTCAAGATTACCTTGGTGTTTCCTCCCAGCCGAGTCTCAGCTGAGAACAGGTGGGTCTTTGGGTCGAGGGCTGGTTGGCAGAGGCTATTGTGTTACTTAAAGAAAGATGAAAGAGTGGGTAACATAAGGGAATGCAGTGGGGACCCTGCATTCCTAGTGTCCTCACATCCCCAGGCACATTCAGTCCTTAGAACAGCTCTGCAAGGGAGGGTGGCTGGGCGGGCATCCCCACTTAAAGGTGGTGACTTCCAAATCCAGAGTGGTAGATGATACTCACCCGGGGTCCACAGCTGGCATATGAGCTCTTTCCACTTTAAGAGGCTTCGTCGGGGCTCCAGCTTACCTGAGCAAACTGCACAGCATAGACTTTGGGGAGGCATGTGGCACCCCAGCCTGGGCTAGGACTCAATAACCACTTTGCTCCCAGCTTCATGGCCTCAGACAAGTCCCCTCACCCCCAGAGGGGCTGACCATGCTTCTGCCATGACTGGGACAAGTGTGAGGTCTGGAGCTAGGCTGAGTGGCTGTCAGTCCCAAGGTGTCACTCATGAACAGTGTGGTCCTAATCCTGCCTTGTGTAGAACAGCCATAACAACAATATCCACTTCCCCCGGATGCGACAGGGCCTCAGTATTTTCATGACGACTGTGTGGCAGTAAGGGTTCACTCAGTAGGAACTATATGGGTCCACAAAAGGATTGGCCTCAGGCCCTTTATCTCAGTGAGCACTTAGCATGTCCTTGGCTCCCAGGCAGGCTCTGAAGACTTACAGATGAATAAAACAGAGCCCCTCTCCTAGGCAACCTCACTCCAGTTATAACAGTGTGTTCTTGGCAGAACCCCTGTCTTGTACAGGTCTCCATGCCCTGCCCACCTCGCCCTCCAAGCTCCAACCACTCTGGCCATTACAGATACTGTCCCCTCTGTGGGCACGCCTTTCCTGCTGTCCTCCATGCCCTCAGCCTAGCTCTTCCATCTCAGAATTCAACTCAGGCAAAGTGTCCTCAGGGTTGCCCTCCCCAGTCCCTGGGCGAGGTCATTTGGCTGCATGCTAGTTGTTCCCCTGTTTATGTCCACATGGCTTAGTGTGACTGTTGGACTGGAAGGGAGAAGCAGGTCTGACTTATTCTCCACTAAATCCTCATCCTGGCATGGTGCCTGGCACACAGGACGTGCTCAGTAAATGTTTGTTAGATGAATATCTACATGAGCAAGCAAACAAACACCAGGCACCAGGGCAGCTGTTAATTTTCCAAGATGAAGCAAGAAGGACCAATGGGGTCAGATCACAAGGAGCCTTGAATGCTGGGTGGAGGAGCATGCCTTCTTTGTGCAGGCCCTGGGCTCGGGTTCTCAGTCCTGGGTGCCCTTCAGAGTCACTGGAGAGATTTTAACAATTCTCATGCTCTCCCCCTCAGATGAATTAAAGCAGAACCTGAGAAGGATGGGACCGGGGATCCCTGTATTTTAAAGGCTGACTGGCGATTCTGCCATGTGGCTGGGGTTGAGAACCACCGGCCAGATGCTGGACAGCCTGGAACTTTTCTGCCACACTGAGTGCCCCAGCCAGGGTGCCTTGGCTAGGACTCAGGCTCAGACCCCCACCCAGTCTCAGCAGTCCTACCTCTGGGACGTGGAGATGGGGCTGGGCAATGTTCACATGCTCCCACCAGCCCACCTCCCCTGGGAAGGTCTGTGGAACTGGCTGGACAGGCTGAGTCTGACAGGCGCAGTGCTGATGGATGGACACCCCCTACCCTGCCGGCCCCACCCACAATCCACCAGGTCACCCCCTGGAGTGAGTCCTCTGATAACCAACTCCTGCCCGCAGCTGCCCACTCCCACCGGCTGCCTGGCCCTGGGGAAGGGAGGAAGGGAGAAGCTCCCATCAGAGCCGGCCACCGAGCCAGCCACCTACCCCGCCACCAGGAAATCCGCAGCCACACGGGGAAGGGCAGGGGCTTTAGACTCACACATGAGGGTTCAAGCCTGGCGCTGCCACTTCCTGACTATGTGCCCTTTCCCCTGTTTGAACTTCAGTTTTCCCCTCTGCAAAATGGGGATGTTAGCGCTGTGTGGTGGGCTTGTGAGGACACAAAGTAAGAACTGCCACTGCTGAGCATCCACGACGGGTTCGGAGCCCTGGCCTCACGTTGGTGTGATGCTAAAGCACTCCCAGCCCCACTTTCCTGGCAATTCTAATGTGCCCTCAGGGTTGGGGATCACTGGGCACCTCTGCCAAGTGCCTTGCATCCATTACCTTATTCAGTTTGCACAGCAGCCCTATCAGAGGAGAATTTTCCTCCCATTTTACATATGGGGCAACAGAGACTTGGAGAGATGAAGCAGCTTGCCTGGGGTCAAGTGTACCTGGACTTTGAAACCTGTGGTCTTTCCTCTACTCCAGCAGCCTCTAGAAAAGGCAGTGGACCAATGGGGAGAGTGACCACCAGCCCAGGCCCCCAGGGTGACATCAGGGCCTCTGAGTCGGGGCACCTTCCCGTCTTAATAGATTTTGGCCGATTGATTCCTTACCTACCAAGAAACACACAAACTTAAACCATAAGTATATCATGAAAATAAAGGTCGGAAAAATCGGAGGAAGCCAGGGTTAAGGTTTGCGTCCGGAAAGATAGCTGGGAAGCCCTGCGGAGGCCGGCGGCTGGCAGGGGGAAGGAGGGAGTGAGAGCACGTTGCAGCCTTGGCTGTGGAGTGACGCCCGAGCCCTGAGACTTAACGGGGGGCTTCCCGGGCACCAGGAGGTTTTTTTTTTAGCTTTCTATTTTGCAGTAATTACAGATTCACAGAAGTTGCAAAGACAGTATGGAGAAGTCTACCATACCAGGATTTAAAAAAAAAAACAAAAAACTGCCCAGGTGGTTCCATTGTGTGGTCAGAGCCAAGAACCTCAGACCAAAAACTTGGTTCTTGCCTTTGGCCAGGTCCAGGTGGGGAGGAAAGGGTTGAGGTCACCTGAAGCTCAGATGCTTCTGCCGAGCGTCCCCACCTGTGGTCATCCCCTCCTACATTCCTGGATGGGAACTCTTTCCTTTCCTGATCTCGGGGGTAGGAGGTGCCTGTATGCAGCCAAAGTCTGAACCTGGACCCTCGCTCTTCTTGCAGATGCAGCTGCCATCTTGCTAGATGAACAGAACAAGAGGCCGTGCAGGAAGTTTCTACTGACAGGTAATGTGTTCTGCTCAGTTTAGTTCCCCCCAGGGACCACCATGCCCCATCTGGCCTGCTCAGACCTCTGCAGAGCCTCTCCCCTACCCCAGCCACCATCCGAAGCCCACTTTGTGGTCTTGGTGCATCAGCCAAGTGGTCAGTTGGGGCCTTCCCAAAGGTTGTGCCAAGGGACTGACATCCAGGGCCTGGTTCCTCAGCTCTCCCGACCTAGAATGTGATTTTATTGGCCCACCCAGAACAAGCAAGTACTAGGAGATTGCAAGTAAATCTGGTAGACACTGATGGGTCTGATCGACTGGCTGATTAGGTTAGCCTGGGAGCCCATCCCAGCAGGCAGGGCTGGAGACAGTAACAGGCTTGATGAGAAACTTCAGAATTAGAACCAAGGATGCTAAGTGTTGATTTGACTACTCAATACCCGCCAAATAAAGGTGCATATAGGTTCAAACAGATAAAAACCTCAGTAAGTGAAGGAACTAAGAGCAGATGAAAATAAGGGTAGGAAAAATAAGACAAAGCCAGGAGAATGATTCGTTTCCTCCATGCTTGCTTTGAGTTCCTGTATACTCTCTAGGAGTTTGGCCCTGAGCTTCCTAGTGGCCAAGGCAAAGAGGAGAACCGTGGTGATTACCATGGTATGTAAAAGAGCTTGGCTCTGGGGAGAGGTAATGCTGTTGGCCTAAGGAAGCCATATGAATGGCCACACTCCCCTCAGGAGCCGGCGCTGCCCCTAGAATAGTCACCAGGCCTGCAGGTCAGGGGCTTCCCCGACAGACTTCACTTAGATGTGAAAACACCACTGGTAGGTTCTGCTGGCTTTGGATACCTTCAGTCTCCCGCTATTTTGAGACACAGTTTGGTCTCCCCGGTTGAGATTCAGAAAGCTACCCCAGGCTTTGGTGCCTTCTTGAGGAAGCTACCATTGAAACCTTTCTGGGGAGCAGTCCAGCGGCTCATGCAAGCCAAATGGGCAGGTGGGCACCAGGCAGAGGGCACAGCAGGTGCAACGGCCTGGATTGGAGAAAGGAAGCATGACCCTTTCAGGGACGCCCCTGTGGTTTCTTGAGGCTGGGGAACAGGGGCTGGGACCAGGGGAATGGTGACAATAGACAAGCCTACAGGAGACCTATGCACCCCAATCACGGAAGTCTTCAGGATTTGCTACCCAGGGTCGTGAACGGCGCAGAATGGACCAGACAGGTTGCTCTGGCTACTTGTGTGGATGGGGCCAGAGAGATTCCAAGTTTTTCTTTGGGGGTGGGGTTGTTACTCTGTGGACTCTAAAGCCTTGCACCCCCATCAGGGCGCCCCTCAGCGCATGGTGGGAGCTCTTCCAAGCAGTGAGTGACTCTGTCTTCTCTGCCTTCTATTGCAGGCCAGTGTGACTTCGGCTCCAACTGCAGATTTTCCCACATGTCAGAGAGAGACCTCCAGGAGCTAAGCATCCAGGTGGAGGGTGTGTTTTGGCGGGGACCCTGGGTTGGGGTGTGAAGCGGGCTGCTGGGGGGATGCCAGATATGAGGACTGCAAAGCTGCCCTGTGCCTCTCCACCTCCTCCTCTTTTTTTTTTTTTTTTAAATATTTTTTTTTTTTTTTCAAAGATTTTATTTATTTGCCGGGGGCGGGGGCAAGCATGAGCAGGGGAGGCGGCAGGCAGAGGGAGAAGCAGGTTCCCCGCTGAACAAGGAGCCCGATGCGGGGCTCGATCCCAGGACCCTGGGATCATGACCTGAGCCAAAGACAGACATTTAACCGACTGAGCCACCCAGGTGTCCCCCTCCTCCTCTTTTGTGGCCACCTTGTGGAGATAAGCTGAGGGCTGCCCCAGGTGATGGGGGGGGTGTCAGGAATGCCTCCAAACCACTGCAGGCATGAGTGGAGAATGAACAGGGGAGCCCCCATCTGTGCTCTCTGTGGGGTTTAAAGTGACATGTGGGGCTTTTCTGTCCAGGAGCCCTTAAGGGTGTGCCTCAGCCTCATCTGTGCCCTGCTGGGTGCTCATTCAGGCATAGCCTTCCTCCTTTCATCCATCAGGCAACATCCGTCTCGAGCCCTTACTCGGCACCAAGCAGACCCCCTGCTGCATTCTTTGGGCAACGGGATGAACCTTCCCTGCCCTCAGAACTCTCAGGCCTAGTAACTCCAAGGAAGAACCAGGCTAGCTTCCCCTGGAAACTGCCATGTCTGCTTGTGGGAAGTTCACTTCCCATTTCTCCAGTTAGAGAACAGGACATTTCCACTTTGATGGTCTTAGTCAGTCTTCTCATGAAACCCCTCATGGAACAGATGGAGAAACTCCAGCTAGCCTAGGGGGGAAGGGCCTCACATGAACCCCCCAGCAGGTGAGAGGCCGATTCTCGCCTCCCAGGGGGCTGTTGCCCACTCTTCACTCTGTCCGGGTGGCCTCGGGGCCGCCAGTGAGTGTCCGGGGCAGCGTGGCCTTTGCCCTCGTCCCCCAGTGGGCCTCACCCCCCTCTGACCCGTCATAACCTCAGGCCATGCCCTGCTCTGGGGAGCCAATGGCAGTGCGGCCGCAGCCCTGGCACAGACACAGGGTTTCCAGGAGCTCTCCCAGGGCAGAAGTGAGGCCCCACAGGCCTCGCCAGCGAATCCTGGCAGTGGTGGCTTCTCCAGCTCTTCACTGGCTGTGGGCTCTCGGGGAACAGTTGGCCCATGGCAGGGAGAGCCTAGGCCAGTGGGCCTGCAGCTGGAGACGGTGCCTGGTGGAGACAGGGATGGGAGAAGCCTGAGGGGGCTGGAAGCAGAGATGTGCCCCCCCCGCCCCGGTGGCAGCTCTGATAGTCCTGGCTCTGCCACATCCCCTGTGACCTTGGCACATGGCAAAACCTCTTGGAGGCAGTGTCCTGATGCGTTGAACCTTACTGCTTGTAAAGGTGAAGTGGGATGAAATGTATGCAGTGCTAAGCCCAAGCCCTGGCCCCCTCGTTGGTTCCCAAGTATGATTGTTTTCCTCTAGCTCCAGGCCCTATCCCAAGTCCTCCCGGAGACTCTGACCCCTCTCACACCCAGCTTGTTTGAACTGTTGGCTCACTTTTAAGTGAGCAAAGATTCTTACAGGACAGTTTATGAAATGAAAAACCAGGATGGGGCGCCTGGGTGGCTCCGTTGATTGGGTGTCTGCCTTCATCTCGGGTTGTGATCTCGGGGTCCTGGGATTCAGCCCCGTGCTGATCTCTCTGCTCAGCAGGGAGCCTGCTTCTCCCTCTCCCTGCTGCTCCCCCGCTTGTGCTCTCTCTCTCTTTCTGGCAAATAAATAAAATTTAAAAAGGAAGGGAGGGAGGGAGGGAGGGAGGAAGGAAGGGAGGGAGAGAGAAGGGAAGGGAAGGGAAGGGAAGGGAAGGGAAGGAAAACCAGGAAAGCCGACCCCCAGCAGGTCAGCCCAGCTGCTGCCGGGGCCTGGCTCCTTCCCCTGCCCAGGGTCAGAGAGACCTGGCAAGTGGCCAAGTGAAGATCCAAACCCTGCTCTACAGCCCACATTGCCTCTCTGCCCCCAGGTTTGGGCCCCTGCTGAGGACCACGCTCTCTACATGCCTTATCCTGTGTCCAACTGCAAAAAGCTTGGGAGGCAGCCAGTGTTTTATCTCCACTTAATGAGGAAGCAAAGTGAGGCCCAGAGGGTCAGGCCTAGGAAGGTAGCAGTGTGGTAGGGACTGCTCAGAGGCTCTGCTCCTGGCCTCCCAGCTTGTGCTCTCATGCCCAGGAAGGTTCTGGCAGCTTTGTGGGAGGGTGGGGTCCAGGCAAGGGTGAATGTATCCCTCACTTGCCTCTGTTTCCCTGTCTCCACAGAGGAGAGGCGGGCCAGGGAGTGGCCACTAGATGTCGTCGAGCTCCCTGAGGGCCATCTGGAAGACTGGTTGGAAAAGAGAGCCAAGCGGCTGAGCTCAGCTCCAAGCAGCAGGTACAGGCCCCATGAGTCCCCATCTCCTGTGCCCTCTAGGACAGTACCCTAGCCAGCCTGCCCTCACCAAGTAGTCTCCATGAACCGCCCTGGCCCAGGGACCCGACATGGACGCCCCCACAGAGCTCCTCGAGGGAGGAGCCACATTGGGACTCTTGGGTCCCCAGGCCCTGGCCAGAGGCTAAGGGGCACTCATTTAAAAGTTCTTATTCCTGAGCCTCATCCTCCTGCCTTAGTGGCTCCTCCCTTAATTGGCATCTGTCCTGGCTGAAGGGGAGACAGGTGGCCAAGCCAACTCGACTGGACATCACCAAGTCCATTGCCAGAGGGAGGGGCCTGATTGTGGTTCCTGAGGCCCCAGTGTGCCAGTCACTGCACTGTCTCCTCTCAGGCCCTGCCAGATAGGCATGGTTACCCCGACCCTGCAGAAGGGGGGGTAAGGCTCACAGGAGGGTGTGACTTGCCCAAGGGCACACGGCTAAGAGGCAGAGCTGGGATTGCTCAGAGATGTGACAAGTTCACTCCCCAGCAGGTCGCCCCAGCTGCTGCCGGGGCCTGGCGCTCAATATGCTCAGAAGTGGGTGGAGCACCCTGGGTCAGGGACCCTCAGGTGTGTACTGCGTGCTGTCCCAGGGCTCCTGTGCTCTTCCGCCAGGTGTTGAAGGAGGGAGAGGGGAGGAAAGGAGCTACCGGATGTGCTTATGAGCATCCTGTGACTTTGTAAAGCTGCCTGCACTGGGCTGCCTCACTTTGCCTGTCTTGCAATGGGGCTTCAGACCCGATTATCTCTGTGGTGCAGTCTCATGTGACAACAGGCTGGCCTGGCCCGAGGGAGCCTGGTTGGACAGTTGGGGGTGAGGCCTTGCCTCTGAGCTCTGCCAGGAGGTGGGAGCTAAACTTCCCTTCTCTGTGCCCCCATGAAGAGAGCTTTTTGTTAAACTATTTTAAAATTAACTTTTAGTTGTTGTTGGGTTTGTTTTGTTTTGTTTGAGAGAGAGAGGGAGAGAGAGCATGAGTTGCGAGTGTGGTGGGGTGGGACAGAGGGAGAGGGAGAGAGAATCTTAAGCAGGGTCCGCGCCCACCATGGAGCCCGATGTGGGGCTCGATCTCACAACCCTGAGATCATGACCTGAGCCAAAATCAAGAGACAGACACTTAACCGACTGAGCTACCCAGGCACCTCAACTTTTGGTTGTTTTTTAGCTTTTTTAAAAAATCTGTGTTGTTTTTGTCCCCTCACCTTAAAACAATACAGTACAGACATAGATGTTGGAGTGTGATGTCTGTCCCTTCTGGTCCTGTCTGAGCTGGTTGTGATTTTGGTCAGGGGAGTGCCCCTTTGGGACTTGTCCCAGGATCCATGTCCCAGACCCCATCAGCTGGTGTGTCAGAGGGCTGGGGCTGGTTGGAGGCGCCCAGAGAGCTCTAGGGTCTTCCCCACTCTCCCACTGCTTGGACCTGGGCACCCATGAGTCTTGGCTGTGCTCCCCGCTCACCTCCCTGCTCTGACTTGGTGGTTCCTCTGTTGGGACTGAGCACCAAAAGCCTGGGCACCTCCTGAGCTTTTCACAAGGGCTCAGGGAGACCCAGTGCCTGGACTGGCTTGAGTGCAGGAGTGGGTAGAGATGGGTGACCAGAAGTCCCCACCTAGGGACAGATGTGTCCCAGTGCCATCCAGTGCATGACGCTTGTGACCATGAGACTCAGAGGACTGGGGGATGAGGTGGAGAAACTGAGGCTGGATGGCAGGCCCAGATCTCAGGTAGACGGTGGTGAGCCCCTGGTAATCGGGTGTGTTTGGTGCTGTGGTGCGCCTGGCCCTTGGCCCTGGGCATTTAAGGGGATTGGTGCCCCTGGTTTGTGGCTGAGGAATCTCAACCCCTCCAGGAGATTGTGACTGTCCTGGTCACACACCTGCTATCTTCAGCAGCCCTGAGCTGTCGCTTGAGAGAGCGCTTACACCCCTGCTTGGTCTAGACCCTAGGCCACTCTGTCTCCAAGGGCCCCATCCACCTGAAGGTCTGGAGTGGTCGAGGCAGCAGCAAGCTGCTGGGATGGAGTAGCTGTTTCAGGGCTACAGCCTGCACCTGGGGACCACCCGAGGCTCTGGGGAGTCTCAACCCTACCCTTGTGCTCCTCACCTCCTGGTCACCCAGGCTGACCCCTTCTGGATGACCACTTGTCCCCTGCACCTGTGTACCTTCCACCCGCCTCCTGAGGGCTCAGCCAGAACGGATTGCTCTTGGGGCAGAGCAGGCCTGTCCGGCCTTGAGAAAAAGGCTGTTGGAAGGCAGGTGACCATTTATTATTACTTTCACCATCACTGCTTCGGTCTTCCTCAGCCCTCTCCTATAGGCTGGTCTCATGAAAAATAACCCCTTTATCCTGCAGCCCATGGGTGATGGGCTCCGCCCCTCCACCTGTGGCCGCACCACTGCTGGGTCAGGGGAGGTGCATTCAAGCCCCCGGGCTGCTTTGTCCAATTCCCTGAGTCTCTTACCCTGGAGGCAGCCCTGCAGAGACCGTTCCCTCTGTGCCCTTTACCCACCCGGTTTCCCCCACGGCCACAGCAGCCCCTCCTGGCCTCCCACTTCCCCTCTGCTCCTCCTGGCCCTCCCCCACAGAACAGCCCCAGCCAGCTTCTAAAATACTCCCTGGCCTTGGCCCGGCCCCGACCCCTGCATCAACCCTTCTGGGCTTCCTCTACCCCAGGGACTCTGGGCCCTGCAGCCCAGCTCGACAGACCCCAGAGAACTGCCCTGCCACCTCCCCAGCCCGTGCGGTCCCCTTCTCACCTCTCCCATCTGGCTTCTGTTAGTCCCACTGGACTCTCGCGGCTTCTTGGATGTGGTGCCATTTCTGATTTCTGTGCACCACGTATATACTACTTTGTCTGCCGGGAACCGCCTCCCCACCTCTGCCCGGCAAAGGCAGACTCATTCTTCAAGCTTTAGCTCGGACGCCCCCCCTCACGGCGCTGAGCTCACATTGTTGTCACTCGGGCTTGGCGCGGGCTCGGGCCATGTTGACTGCATGGGAGCACTTGGGGGAGCAGGGTCCCTGGCCTGGAAGACTATTCCCTAGGTGTTGGTGCTGTGGACCCGTTGTGGGGACCAGTGTGGTGGCTGCTCTTCTATGGGTGTCTGTTTCCTCCCCTGAGGTACAGGGGGCAGATGGCTGCCCAGTCCACCTGGGGCCACCCAGACCCGAGGGCTCCAACCCCAAGGGCTGAGCCGCGCCTTCGAGGTGAACCAGGCCAACCCTCCTTATAGAGGGGGGAAATGGAGGCCCTGTGAGGCCCCAGCCTGGCACACTGTGCCATCCTCCTCGGCCGACTGACCCTGAGGGATCTGCCCAGAGCAGACAGGGGCAAGAGCTCAGACACACAGACTAATCCCCCGGCAAGGCCAGTGCTTGTCCCTGTTTTCCATTGTTGGCTCTTCAGATTGTGACTTTATCCCCCTTAATCTCCCCTTTTGCACCCCTCTCTGGACTGGCGCTACTGTTCCAGCCCAGGCGCTTCCCTAGGACTCTTTTCTTCGGATCAGAACCACGGCTGGGGAAATGCAAAAGAGAGCAGCTCCTGTCCTTGCACCGGGGGCGGTGGGCAACAGGCCACAGGGGAGGCCACGGAGCGGTCTTGTGCACCTCAGTGTCCCCGTGTGCTCTGCGCAGGCGGGAGGGATGTGCTTCATGAGCTCAGGGGCCTGGGGAATATGTCCGTGTCTGAGCCCGTGGAGGGGGTACCCTTATCCTGGGGGGAGGCCTCAGCTGCCGAGGAATCTGCTCCATCTTCTAGAGAAGGGTCTGAGGCTCACGGGAAGGGTCTCACCAGGATCACACCCTCTCTCTGCAGAGAATTGTGGTCACCTTAACCCTGCGGGAAGCCCGGGGCTGGCTGGCGTCTGGGGCTCTCCCTTCCAGCAACTGTGGGGCCTCCCCCACTCCCACCCTTCTCTGCGGCTGGTGGAGTTGATGAAGTCTCCCCAGTGCCATAGATCACGTTGGGAGCTTACTTTGTGCACTCTCCAGCAGATGGCAAGCAGCTAGGCAGGGGGTTGCCCTGGCCTCTTGTAACAGGAGGCCGCCTGAAGCCCTCGAGTGGGCTGTCCCCAGCAGGTCAGGCCCCAGGAGGAGCAGGCTGGGGGGCGGCAGCGAGGCAAACTCCCAGGGCTCCTGACCCCAGCCACCACCTCCACCTCGGAGGCCTGAGGCCTCTCCAAACCTTTCAGAGGGCCCAGGACTTTACCTCTCGGCAGAGGGCTGGCCACTGGATCCCAGCCTGCCTGGAGCTGCCAGGGTATCACCTCCACTAAAAGCTAGGCCTGTGGATTGGGGGGCAATGTCTGGAGCCCACGTATACATTGCCTGTTAGCCCCTAATCCCCAGTCCCAGACTCTGTCACTTGGGCATATGACTGACTCTGTGCACCTCAGTTGCCTCATCTATAAAATGGGGTTCACATGAAGATGCTTGACGTTTCTCTGGACCTTGATGCCTGGCCCACAGCAGTGCCTAGTCAGTAAGAGTACTCAGTGTTGCTACTTGTCGCCAGCAGACATTCACTGAGTGGCCTCCCTGCGCCAGGCCTGGCTCTGGCTCCTGGGGGACAGATGGACATCACCCCTACCCCCTGGTCTCTTCCATGTGAGAGCTCCAGTCCCACAGGGGAGATGCGAGCTCTCGGGTGAGTTCAAAGTGCTCCATAGCCTGTGAGGGGCAACGCAGCCCTGCAGCAGGGGACTGAGTGGGGATTAAGTCCAGAAGCATTGGAATATGGAGCAGCTGGGGGGCAGGGGGGCGGGGAGCACTGCCTCTGCACCTCAGTTGGCTCCCTGAGGACAGGGTGGCCCCTGGCTGGGCACCCAGGGTGGATGCTCCAAATAGGCCCTGGGTTCCCAGGGTGGCAGCTCCAGGGGGGTTGGACCTCCAGGGGAAGGAGAGTGAGTAGCATGAGAAATGAGGCTTTTAAAAAAATTTTAGACAATATTTTTTTTCTGATTTCCAAGGCTTGCATGCCTGTAAAACTTTTCTTGAAAAGTATAAAGAAGTAAAAAAATCACCCATAACTACACCACGCAGATAGAACCACTGTTAACATTTTGCTGTGTCTTCCAGGGTTTTTTTTTATGCATTTATATATGTTATATATCTTTAAACAAAAATAGTATCATGCTATATACATTATTTTATAAGCTGCTTTTTCTCTCTACTCACACAGTACATCATGACACCTTTCCTTATCAGTGCATACAAGTCTGCCTTTACTTTTATGCAGGCTGCATAGCATTCTCTGCTGTGGACGTGCATATGTATTTAATCAGCCCCCCACAGGTGGACACAGGTTATTTCTGCTTCTTGTAGCTCAGTCTCTGCCCACAACCCTGCTATTTCACTTGGGCTCCTTCCTAGAGGTGAGGTTGCTGGCTCAAAGGGTCTGCATGTTTTTGAGGCTCTGCCTTCCAGAAAGGTCATGCGAGCAGCTGACCTTTCCCGTAGCTGGGGCGGTGGGGAGAGGGGGAGCTGGGGGGGGAGGTGCCCCAGCCTGGGCCTGTGCTGGGCCCCATTCTAATTCTCTTTCTCCTTCTCTCTAGGGCTGAACCCATGAGAACCACCATCTTCCAGTACCCCATAGGCTGGCCACCAGTCCAGGAGCTGCCTCCATCCCTGCGGGCACCCCCACCCGGGGGGTGGCCCCTGCAGCCCAGTGTCCAGTGGGGCTGAGCCCCTCATCCCCACCTGACCCCCATCTGGGCAGCCTTCGTGTCAGTCACAATAAAGATAAGGGCTCCTACTGGGGATGCTGAGGCCCTCGCCTGCTGCCTCCCGTAGAGCCTCTGAAGCCATCGGCTCAGACTGGCTGGACAGAGGCCCCAGAGTCGCCCTACCAGGTACAGCCCTGATCTGAGCTCTACTCCAGGCAGCTCCTCCCTCCCGCTCTCATGGGACATCCTGAGAAGACGGGTGAGAAAACTTCCTTCTGGATGTTTATAAAGAAAGTCTGTCACCGTGATGGTCTGGCTTCCTGCTCGCCCGGCGCCCTCAGCTTCACGCCTCCGCCCCTGGTCAGAGGACGGGCGGGACTGGCGTTGACATGAGGCCCTCTGCTGGGTGAGGAGTGCTGTTGCCCTCCTCCCACTAGGGCCGGCAGAGGCTCAGCACGGCTGGGCAGAGGGTGCACCAGTGTGGCTGGGATGGTCACCCCGGTGAAAGGGGGCTCCAGACCTGGGAGAGGAGCTCGAGGACTCAGTCTGCTGTCCCAGTCCCCGCATCTGCCCAAGCCGAGCTGGTGCCCGAACGAGAGATGGCACAACGGGAGCACGGTGGGAGCTGTGTCTCTGGCCTGGACAGTATAGAGAAGTTGGGGGCCCCGGGAAGACAGGCCCTGGACTTGGGGGAGCGGCCTGGCTGAGCTTCCTGGCACCGGCAGTGCGGGGCTACACCAGCCCCTCGGCCCAGCATGACACAGGGCCCCTCCCAAGGCTTGTGCCCGGGAGGAGCCCCCCGGACTGATGGGGAGATCACACAGGCTGCTCAGGCGATGTGGAGGCTCCAGGCCCCTGGTCTGCTTCCCTCCTCACTGCACTCCAGTTCTAGATTCTGTGCTGGGTGGTGGCCAGTGTGGTCCTCGACCGGGGGGCTCAAAGGGCACAGAGACTGCAGGGCCACCTCAGATGCCCCATCTGCTGTGAGCTTTTGCCCTTCCTAAAAATCCCTGTTGAAGGGGGTACTGAATCCGGAGGCCCTCTGAGCCTCAGGCTCCTCAACTGTGAAATGGGCAAATTCTCCGGCCCCAGTGGGTGCATAGAGGAAGGCTGGGCTTGAGTCTAAGGAGGGTCAGAGAAAGGGACCCACAGAGGGCCAGGGGCCTCCTCAGGCTTGCCCAGCGAATAGCGCCCGGGAGACCCCAGCCTCACCCCCTCTCCAGGAGGAAGCCTCCTGCCCCCATCTCCACCCTGCACACAGCCCTGGGCAAATCTCAGGGACCAGGGTCAGGTTGGCTGTGTGGCCCTGGGCACAGGGTGCCTCCTTCCCGCCTAAGTGACCACATCCGCTACTGGACCCTGTACAAATGCCTCCTAAATTTCCCAGGAGCCTCTGGACAGTGGGAGGGAAGAGTTAGTGCTACATACAGGCCAGGGTGGGCAGGGTGCAGGCGGGGCCGGGGGCTGTCCTCAGAGCCCCCGCCAGGCCCTCCGCAGCCGGGCCTCGGCCCCATGCAAGGGCCCGCAGGGGCAGGTAGGGTGGGGTTGCCAGACGTCCCGGCATCGAAGGACACGCGGCAGTGGCCCCGGGAGCCGAGTGCGGGAGAGGACTGCGGGTGGTGGGGGACGTGGAGAGGGCCCCACGCACCGTGTGTGCCTACTTCATGCCGCTGCGCAGCACCTGGTTGGCTGCGATGAGCATGACGCTGATGATGAAGGCGATGGCGAAGGCGCAGATCAGGCTCTTGCGCACGCACGTCTGGCGGATCTGCTGGTTGGAGCAGGCTGTGGCCGCCCGCCAGGGAGCACCAGAGAGAGACAGACGGGGACAGCGAAGCATGGAATCAAGAGCCGCCTGCACTTCCGCACGTGGGCTCGTCCCTCGGGACACGCGGGGACACAAGGCGTGGGGCGGGCAAGGAGGCCCCCAGCCGTCCCCTGCAGACCCTGGTTCCTCCTCCCCCTGCCCCAGCCGTTGGCCTGCCCATGGGGGGAGCGGGGGCCGGTCACTCACTCTCCACGTCCACGGGGCACTCCTCGGCGGTGCCCAGGTGGCTTTCCTCCTCCGTCATGATGATGTTCTCGATGTCCTTCATGGACAGGTGCTCACAGAAGGTGTCATACAGCAGCCGCTTCAGCTCGTCCACAGTCAGCTTCTGCATGTCACACTTGGGGAGGGGAGGAGACACAGTGCTCTGGCCACTTGCCACCCCCACGGCTACCACCCAGCACCCCGCAGCCACACGTGCCCAGGGACACGCCTCCAGATTCTGGAGGACTGGAAACCACTGGCTCCATTCCTTGAGTCCTTGACCATACCAGCCTCCCCCAGGGGGCCCCTGGCCCTCTGGGAGATAAGACATCCAGGGAACAGACACCTGGGATAGTCATCCCCCTTTACAGTGTGGCCCTGGCCATTCACAGGCCCCACGCAGCCCTCCACGGGGCACACAACCCTAAGTCCCAACCTGCCAGTACATACCTTCCAGAAGACAGTGTCAAAGTCAGTGCCGTGGAACTTCTCTGGGATCCCCGAGGTGGAAAGCTTGGGTCCCAGGAGGGTCACAAACTCCTCAAAGTCCACTTGGCCATCGCCTAGGGTAGGCACAGGTCCAATCAGTGGGCCAGCCTACAACTGGGCTGAGTCCCGGGCCACCTTGGGCCACTGTGGTACCTTGGGCAGGTCCCACCTTCTCCGAGCCTTGAGTTAGGTTCAGGGATGAAAACCACCAAATATAATGAGGCCCCACCTGGCAAAGTGGAGATGGAGTGCAGCAGGTGAGCCCGAGCACGTGGGAGAGCCTCACATTTTACCGAGAAACGTGGCTTCCCAGCAGGTGTGGGGCCCGACATCCTCACCACACAGGAAATGAAGTTCAGGGCACAATCTGCCCAGACGGCTACCTGCCCTCTGGGTGAGAAGGAGGCAGGGTTGGAGGCCCCGGGGTGGGGGGTGGGGCAATGGGAAGAGGGGACTGACTGGACATTACTGGTCTTTTTTACTAAGTTTTCCTTAATAAGTTACCAGGTGGCAAATACGACTAAATGATTTTTTGTTTGGGGGTGAGGGGACCTGGGGTATTTAGTACATCCTTCCTACTTTTCTGTGCTTTAAAAATTGCTCGAGAGGTGCCTGGCTGGCTCAGTCGGTAGAACAGGCAACTCCTGATCTCGAGGTTGTAAGTTTGAGCTCCACGTTGGGGGAAGAGATGACTTAAAAATAAAATCTTTAAAAAACTGTTGCTCAGAATGATGCAGAGCAAGAGAGGTAGAGCCTCTAACCTCCATGTGTGGGTGTGGCTGGGGCCGTCACACTCTAGCCTCTATTCTCCAGGCTGAGAAATGGGGCCAGACCCGACTGCCTACTGCCATGGGCTTGGGGGTGCCTGGAGGGTGGGCTCAACCTCAGAGGCCCAGGTGAGGGGTGAGGAAACTGAGGCAGGGGTTGGTGCTCACCATCCATGTCCAGCCGCTGGATGATAACTTCTAGCTCCACCTCATTGGGCATGTAGCCCAGGGAGCGCATGGCCGCACCCAGCTCCTGCTTGGAAATGAAGCCATTGCCATCGCGGTCAAAGACTTTGAAGGCCTCACGGATCTCTGTGGGGGGGCAGCAGAGCAGGTTGGGACCTCGCCTCTGTCCCCAGCACCCCCCTCCCTAGGCTCCCAGGATCCCAAACCTGCAGCTTGAGCCCAGCATTGAGAATCCACTATGGAGCCTGCAGGTCTGGTCAGAGACACGTGGCAGGTGGCCCAAGTGTCCACCCTAGCGCTGCCTTCCGGGAGCTCAGGGCCGGCCAAGCCAGGCAGCAAAGGTACACCCACGCCCGAAGCATGGCCCAGATCACCCTCGGGGGTCTCCTCTGAGCCAGGCTCCCACAGCCTCTCAGGGCGTGCTCACGACGACCCCGTGTGGTGGGTAAGCATGAGTCCCACTGTGTCGGCTCCCGGGGCCTGGCAGCGGCGGCCTCTGAGCTACCGAAGGCTTCCCTGTCCACCCCTTACTCCTGCCATCCCCTGCCCCCCCATCCCCATCACATGCTTCCTCGCCTGGGCTCGGCTTGGAAACTCCAGCCAGCACTCCTTAATGGGACCCCATGAGGCAGCCGCCAGCTCCGGCTCAGGGCTAACGGGCCCACAGCTCCGTGCAGAGACTGCCTCCCCAGTCCAAGTTTGGGGGAAGGCGGAAGGCTGGATGGAGGGGCCCCAGCAAGCCCAGGCCTGTTCAGATGTGGAGATTGTCCCCTGCATTTTACAGAAGGGGAGACGGAGGCCTGAGGACCTGGGTGACGGGTGGAGAGCAAGGCACTGGGCTGGAAGCAGCGAGTGACCTCGGGCCAGACTCAGTCCCACCCACAGAAGAATGCCCAGTAGTGATGCGGGTACGACAAGGGTTTTACCAAACATGTCCAGGAGCTGTTGAGAGGTCCTAACCTCTCCCCACTCAACTTCGCTCTACCTGTTGTCCCTGTATGCTCACTCAGCCCAGGAAGAGCCCTGAAGAGCATTTTCCTTTGGCCGAGACAGGAGCCTCACTCCACTCACACCCTCTCTGCTCCAGCATCCTTACTCACCTGCCAGCCTCTTGGCCTTTGCCTAAGCTGTCCCCCTGGCTGGGACTTCAGCAGGCAGAATCCTCCCCCTGAGTGTGAGTGTGGGTGTATTTGGAAGCCGAGACAGATGAAAATGCTCCAGACTGCATGCCTGGAAACTGAGGCATGGACAGGCAAAACAGCCAGCCCAGGGTCAGTTTGGGGTCAAGGCTATTTCTGGTGAGAGCAGGAATCTGGCTGGCCCAGGCCTGGCCTTAAGGGGCTGTGAACCCCTAAAACTGTGGAATCCTGTGCCATGGGGTTATTCCCTGATCCCACTGGCCCCATCACAGACTAGGGGCCATGGCAAGGTAGCTTGCGTCAAGGGCCCAAATTTCATCAGGCTCTTCCTAGCTGGTGTCTGCACCCAAGGCCCAGATGTTAGACCAGATGACACATAGGTCAAAACAGAGACAGTGGGCTGCAGCCGAGTGGCTTGGGCCCCCAGACCCTCTGACTCTGGACTTTCTCTACCCATGCTAGGTTGGGCCTGAGAATCTGGTCTAACCAGGGTCCCCGAGGCCAGAAAGCAGGTGGAATGGGAGATCTGGACCAGGCCCAGGGGTTTCTATAAACCTTAGACTTGGAACTCCAGGCCAACTCCCACCTAGCATTCTCCCGGACCACTGACAAGGTGGTAAGCTCCCCACCACCAGAGGTATATGAGTGGGGGCCCGGCAGTCATGGAGGCGGCTAACGGGGTCCTGTGGCTTTGGAGTCTCTAGGTAGAGATTAAGGCACCAACCATGCAACCAGGCACGCCGTCTGCCACTCTTGCCACCACACACACTTAGGTTTCTGGCCAGCACTGTTGCCCTCCTGACCCAGCCCCAGGCTCTGCCCACCTCAGGTGTCCTGAACTCCAGCCCGAGGGGCCCTGTTAGCCCTGGTGAGCACCAGGAGTGCTCCATGTCCAGGCCTTTGAACACAGGGCTCCTTTCGCCTGGAAGTTCTTCCGCTCACCATGGCAAACTTTGATGCCTCTCAGGTTCTCAGCATAGACAGCATCACCTCCCTGGAGTCCTCCCTGCCCCCCAGCTGACTCTGGTCTTCTTCTGGGCCCCACACGCCCTGCTCTGCCCTTGCACTGACCACACTGGACTGTGAATGAACTATGAGTGCCATGAGGCCAGGGGCCACTGCTGGGGCCCCGTGACCTGGAACAGTGCTGTCTGTCAAGCATAAACATCTGCCGAACTAGTGATTAAATGAATGAATGACTGATTTGGGGAGCCTACCCTTCTGGAGCACACAGAGGAAAGAGCTGAGCAAAGTTCATGCACCACTTGGTGTGAGGCCACCATTCCGAGTCTATTTACTTCTAGTTTACAAACAATCCTAGTAAGAGAAAGCGTTTGCTTTCCACTCCCCAAGTAGGCGAGAAGCATGAGGGGAGGTTGAGGATGCTACTTGACCCCTCTCCAACCCCCCAAGGACCCCACCCTAACCCACCCTATGGGCCACCCACAGAAGAGGGGAATCAAGCTGAGGGCAGGGTTGAGAGTACCATCCCCAGATTTCTGGGTGAGGGGCTGGTTTTGGAAGGAGTAACACAGGGTCAATACCCCATCTTTCTGGGTCCCTCCGTTTCCTCCTCTGTAGAGGCCCACTGGGAAATCTCGAGTTGGGATGGCAAAACCCTCGACCCACAATGGGACTGCAGTGGATGCCGGCCCCCTCCCCTGCAAGGAGCTGGGGTCCAGGCTGTCCCTCCCACCCTGGCAGGGGCTGGGTGTGGCCTCCAGAGCCCATGGCTGCTTCAGCTGGAGCCCCTCATCCTCTTCTGGAAGCCTTGAGCTGGACGCACCAGGCTGGACGGGAGACAGTGGAGGGCAGGTGAATCTTGGATTATGTGGGCAGGTGACAGACCCTGAGGCAGCCCAACAGGCCTCAAGGGGCATCAACACTCCATCAGGAAGCTGGAGTCCAGAGACGGGGTGCACATGCTGGAGGTCACTTGTGAAGGAGGGGGCAGCGTCTGTCCTCTGCAGCAGTTGCCATTCTCCGCGGCATTGGCCCCACGCCCCACCAATTTGGCGGCCCTGAGTTTCTGGTCTGCGCAGAGGCGGCTGCTGGGCTTGCAGGGAAAGGGGCACGACAGGGGACTCTCCAACCCCCCCATACTCTGAATGCCCTATTTGGTCACTCTCAGTGCGGGCTCCACTGTCTGACTGAGCAGGCCAAGTGCCAACCCCAGAACCCTGCCCTGGTGGCTGTCTGCCGGTCCGTCTGTCTGTCTCCTTCCTCTTCTCTCTGGCCAAAAAGGGCTGGGCTAGGGCTTGCAGCCACCGCACTCCTACCCTCAGGTGCTCCCAGCCTGTTGATGACCTTGGGGCCAGACTTTGTGCTCCTGCAGACCCTGGGGGGCTTTGCTGGGTGTGTGTGTCGTGGCAGGGGTGAGGGAGGGCGGGATACGGGGAGAAGCTGGAAAGCCTGTTTGTGCTTCTCCTCCGGAGTCAGACAGGCTCCAGGCTAGCTTTGCCTGGCCACATCTACCCTGCGAACCGCCACCCATGGCTCCCCGGGGCCACAGGTCCCCAGGTGCCTTTGCCAGACCTTCAAGGACTCTTCTACCCAGCCTTTCGCGGAGGCTGCCCTCCTGGCCCGCCCCACCCCTGCACATCCTGGGTCCCTAACTCAAGAGCTTCACCAATCTCCCCACACTCCAGGCTCTGACTCCTGCAAGAACCCCCTCCTGAGCCTCCCCTGCTGCAGCATCTGGGTCCGCAAGCTCCCTCTGCGTGCCAGTCCCCTCGATGAGCGCCTCCATTGCATCCTCTGTCACCAGCAGCCCTGGGGAGGGGCAATGCCAAGCCCCTTCTACAGATGGAGACACCCGAGGCAAGAAAGGCAAGTGATTGTCCAAGGTCACTCTGTGAGCGGAGGATGTAGAGATTGGAACCCAGTGCTGCCTGGCTGGGAAGCCCTCATCAACACCCTGTGCTCTCCACCTCCCTTACTGGTCCCTTTCCCCCTCAGATTAACCTGACCCTAGATTAACCTAACCCATTTCTGTGGCAGGCACATAATGTCTGCAGCATCTCATCCCAAGCTGCCGGGCTTCCTCTTCTCTGCACATGTGGATCCCCCACCGGTGGGTGTCCTCTCAGCAAAGGGCCTGGATCTTACCCAGACTGCCCTGGGGCAGGAGCATGAATGCAGAGCAGTGGGCAGGGGGCATCACCTTCTCCATCCAGCCCCGGCACTCAAGGACCACCAGGGCCTGCAGAGACTTGGTCCCCCAGGAAGGCTTTAGAGTGCCTACAGGCAAGAAGGGGGTCAGCTGTGGAGGAATTCTTGCCCTCATCTACAGCTGCCCACAGGCTAGGAGATAGGCTGGGGTCACCCAGGCAACTGCTTGCTCCACGACCCCCACCTGGTCACCCCAAGGAGGGCTCTACCCTTCAGATGCCCCCTGTGCCAGGGTCCCTCTGCTCCTCAGGGCCCAGGAGAAGGGGACAGGAGAGAAGCAGGGAATGCGTTTGGTGTGGCTGGTGACTAACGCTGCTGGGTTCCTGCCAGTGTGTCCGCCAGGCGGCCCGAGGGGAGCCTGCGGCCTCCTCACCCCTGCACTGCCCTCCCTGTGCCCGCTCACCCCTGCGTCCCAGCCTCTTCTCAGCTTCTCAGGGTCTGCACCCCAGGGCTGGGTTTTCAAGAGAGGAGAGACCCAGCCAGGCCCATAGCAGGGCTGCCAGCGTCATGGTGGGGTGCTGGAAGCAAGGGTAGGGAATGAGGTGGAAGCTGCATGGGTTTTGGGGGGACAATGCTGTCCCCTGTCCAAGTGGCCAGAAGGAAGGGAAAGAGCGGGGCCCATGGAGGGAGATACTGGCAGGAGGTTCAGTTCAGGGTGGCCCAGGGCAGGAGGAGAAAATGGTGGGGAAGAGATGGCCCATGCCCCATCCCCTGCCCTCTTGGTCTTCGTGTACCTCCTCCTTTTCCCAGGCCCTGGACAGACAGGGCAGACACTTGGGCTTTGAGGTTCAAGGCCAGAGATCCAGTAGCAGCACTCATCTCTCTGTTCTGCCTGCATCAGACACCAGACCCTGTCTTCTTGGCTCTGCCAGCCTCTGGGGGCTTTCAGGGGACTTGAGAGGAGCAGGTGGTTCATAGTCTATGGTGCAGGGTGTGTGTTGAGGGGGCGGGGTAGCTACTTTCTCCCTCTTGATCTTCCCCTCACCCAGTCTGACTTCACCAAGATCTACCTTCTCCAGGGCTTGGGGATGAGGGAAGACCTCTCACCATGCCTTCCCCTGTACTCCCATCATCATCATCCCTGATTGCACTGGTGTCTCAGCTGCAGCCCCCTAAGCCTGATGAGCCCAGATCTCAGAGACCCTCGGACCCAAGATAATTGAAGAGAGGCCCAGCCTCTGGGCAATCTCAGCTGCTCACCCAACAGCAGATAAGTAGATCCCAGGGGTCCAAGACTCCTATCAGCCCAGAACCCCCACTCCACTCCAAATGGGGCCCTAGGAGGTGTGGGGGATGGAAGGCCCGAGAACCTGACCCCAGCCCAGGAGGAAAAGAGCTTGTAGGCCCCAGGGGTCTCACTGCTCCGCAGAATCTTTGGTCCAGGGACCCCAGACCCTGACCTCTGCTCTGATCTCGTCTAGCCCCTTGCCTAAGGTCCCCATTCATGCTGAGCGGCAGAGGGACTCCAGGGGAAACAGATTTGGGTCCCAGCCTCTGCCTTTCCCTTCCAGGCTTGGTTATCGCGACCAAACCGCCCAATCTGGCCACTTGTTGTCGCCACTACCTCCTGGGCGGCCCTCCCAGCGCTCTGAGCTGGGGGTCCCCGCAGGGCTGTGGGGAAGGGGCTAAGGCCGCAGGAGGGACTGGGGACAGCCCCGCAGGCGGCAAGAGCAGGGCAGTCGCCCTCTCCCCTTCTCCGGCTGCCCGAGCAGATTGGATTTTAAAAAAGCAACACGAGCGGAATGTCAATTCGAGCGCAGAGCCGCGGGCGGGCGCCGCGGAGGGGATCAGGATGCGGGTGCTCCGGCCGGGCCCGCGCGGGGGGCGCAGCTCGGACCCCCACCCAGACCGCCGCCTTGCCGCACCGTCACCGCGGACTGAGCGGCCCCGTGACCCCGCTGCGGGGCTCGGCAAGTTTCCGCAGCGCGGGGGACCATGCGGGCAGGGGCTGGGCCGCCCCTCCGCCTTGGCTACCCCCACCGCGGCACCCAGAGGTGCGAGTTAGTCCTGACTCCCCGCGTAGCTGCTTTCTGGAGCGCCCACCTGGCAGCCGGCACCTGCGGACGGCCCCCCCCCCCCGCCCCCTGCGCCCCTAGTCCGCGCTTCACCTGGGCGCACAGGTAGGAGGGCCGGCGGCAGGGGTCCCGGCGGGGCACTCACCCTCCAGTTCGTCCTCAGGGATGTCCACGGGGCGCTGCTCCGACAGCAGGTTGGGCACGGTGTAGATGCCCCGGTACATCAACGCCGCCGTCACCGGGTGGAACGGCATCTTGGAGGCTCCGCGCCCGCCCGCCCGCCGCAAACTTTGAGGTCGGGGCTCATGGGCCGGCGGCGGCCCCGGGGGCGGCTGGAGCGGGCAGGGCGCGCGGCTGCGGAGGGCGGCCCGGCGGCAGCAGCGGTGGCGAGACGGGGGGCGCCCCTCTGGGGCCCTAGCGCCCCCGCGCCCCGGGCCGCCGGTCCATGCCGCCCCCCCCTCCCTCGTCGGGCTGCCGGCCGGGGACCCGCAGGGGCGGCGGGGGCGGCGCCGCTCGGGCCTCTCCGCTCCGGCCGCCGCGCGCTGCGCCCGCAGCGCCCGCTCCTCGGTGCTCCGCGCGCTCGGCGCTGCTCGCCGCCCGCTAGTTCGCTCGCCGGCGCGGCCGCCCGGCCCGCCGCTCCGGCTCTCGCCGCCTCCCCTGCTCGCTCGCTCGCTCGTTCGCTCTGTGCCGCGCTGGCTGCGCTCCCCGCCTCCCCCGTCCGCCCGCCCCCCCCCCCCCCCTGCCCCTCCCCCCCCCCCCCCCCGCCCCTTCCCGCCGCCAACCCCTGCGCGGTCGCCCCTAGCCCGCCCCGGGCTCCTTCTCCCCTTCGCCCCAGGTTCCCCTTTCCCCCAGCGGAGAATCACTTGTTTCTCGCCCCAAGTCCGCAGCCACCGGGACCAAGGTGGGGGTGGGGCCCTTCCTTCCTGCCCCTTGGCCCGCCCCCACCCCCCGCACGAACAGAGCAGGGAACTGAGGACCAGAGACCTGGCAGCGAGGTGAGATGGGCCCCAGGCGCCTGGGTCCTGGAGGAGAATCTTACAGTATTGGTGCCAGGAGGGGCTCCAAGGTGGGGAAACTGAGGCTGAGAAAGAAGGGCGTTGACCAAGGTCATGAGGCGCCGGCGGCAGGCAGGAGCTTGGGACAAATCTGGGGCAGGCTCCCCTGCCCGTGGCTGAGACCTGGCAGCTGACCTTGCCCCCCACAGTAGAACCCCAGTCCTGGCTCCTTTCCAAGCCCCCACCACTCTGCCTGGGGAGCTGCCAAGGGTCCGTCTCATGCCTCTCCCCACCCCCAACTCAGGGCACTGAAGAACAGAGAGGTGGCTGGGTGCCTGTAGAGACTGGTGTGAGAGCCTGCCAGTTCACATGGCTGGTTAGACCTAATGTGTGTGCGAGGCTCACCCAGGCCCCAAGGCATGTGTGCACATCAGAGTGAGGGGGCTGGTGTTTGTGGGAGCAGCATGTGTGTGCATATATCTGTTACCCAGGAGGGTGTGTCATGTGTTTTTGAGTCCACACGCAGATGGATGCATGTTGGGAGTGTGTATGGGAACCTGTGTGTGCCAAGGTTGTGAGCTGGCAGGGGAGGGGAGGGCAGGAGCTTCTGGGCAGGAGCCCATGGGTGGGCGGGGGACGGTGTGCAGGCCCATGGGCTAGGAGTGGCATGGGCATGGGTGCACAGATGTGTGTGCATATATATGGGGGGAGGGGTTGACCCCCTGGCCTCTCCATGGCCCCAGCTGCTAGACCTGTCCCTGGAGGCCCTACCCGAACCACCTTCAATTAGCCAACAGCCCCAGCGGGAAAGCTGATTGCCACGGCCCTGCCCGGCCCTGCCCTTCCCAAGCTGATTACAGTTTTTCTGTTTGTTTCTGCTTTTGTCTTTGATTAATCACAGCCCGATCTTGGGGCCTGGGGAGAGGGGGCTCAGGGAGAACTCCAGCCCTGGCCGAGCTCGGCTGGGCCAGGCCTGGGCCCCAGTGCTTCTCAGGCATGGCTCGGGAGGGGCATCCCAGCAGCATCCACAACCTGCAGAGAAGCCAGGAAAGACCCCAGCTATTTGTCTCCCCAGCCTCTAGGGATCAGCTGGGTGCCCATTAGAACCAAGGGCCAGGGGTGAGAGAGGCCCCCGAAAAGCCCTACCCCAAAGCGCTCCTCATCCACCTGTCTCCTGGTCTGACGATGTACCATCAGAGTGGAGTGTTTTGAGCTCCTTCGGGTCTTCTGGTGCCGCAGAGGAGTGGGGAGGAAAGGACCCAGAACTTGGAGCCAGGCAGACCTGGGGCTCCCACATCTACCACCTCCTTGCTGCCATAGGACTTTAGTCGCCTCCCCTAACCTCCTGGGGCCTTGGTTTCCCCCTCGTGAAGTGAGGGCAATGCCACATCCCAGGCAGTGGTGAGGATGGAGGGATGTAAAGTGGGAGAGGTGCCCAGCAGTGTATCCCTGTATCTCTTGGGAGTTTCCTATTAGCATGAAAATTCCCCCAAGGAATATGAATTAATAATAATTATAGCCGCTGTGTATTGATTGAGAGCTTGAGCTACAGCAGCTCTCTTTCGCTGTCTACTGAGTGACCAGGCTGCACCAGCCCAGGCCAACCAGTTCTAAATCAGGACCCCTTCGCCAAGGGAGGCTGGGCTGGAGCTTGCTAAGGGTCTGATGGGAAACCGGGCTCCCAGTGGCGTCTAGAGAGGCTGCTACAGAGTGTGTTGCCGCTCGCCTGACAGAGGGGCAGCTCCTTCTATATCCTCTGTAGCTCCCAGCCTGGGCGGTGGAGAATTTTCAAAGGACAAGGCAGAAACAGTCCATGGGTAATTTAAGCTAAAATCAAGTAAATGGGCCTACTCCACACAGCCAGGCCCTGAGGGTCTGTGCTGAGGGAGGGCATGAGTGTCCGTGGAGACACAGGCCTCCCTCCAGTCTGTGGCCAAGGGGTCAGATTCTACATCTTGGGACCAGGCTGCTCCCTGGGACAGGCTCCCACCGGGCCAGACGGACAGGACCTGATGGGGTTTATAGCCCCAAGGTCACAGTACACCCCACTGCTTGGGCCATCCCTGACACCCCTGCCTCTGGAGACTCAGGCCAGTCCCTGTCTCTCCCCTGATGCAAAGCCATGACCCACAGAGCTGACTGTGGGCCTAGGGGACTTCCACGTGTCACCAGCCTCACCTGTTCCCCCTTCTTGATCTGCCCATGGTTACTTGGGCTGTGCATGTAACCGAACGGCATTCCCCGAACTTCTGAAAGCAGTTTGTCCTTGCCTCCATTCGTGGTTGAGGGCACCCCTGCTTAGGGACCAGGTTGGGTCATGTATCACTGTAAGGCAGGGCTGAGGTTCGAGCCCAAGGCAGGAGCTGGGTTGGGATGGGGGGCGGGGGCTTCAGGAGCCAGACTCTGGGCCATTCTGATCTCATCCTTCCAGGCTCAGAGGAATGCTGCCTCCTCCGGGAACCATCATAGACCTCCTCAGCCCTCCAGCACTGTGCACCTCAGGTCACGGGGCAGCCCCTGGGTGCTAGGTCCTACAAGCAAGTCAGGCCAGGAGTCAGAGGATGAGAGGGAGCTGCTTGTACCTGGGACTCACAGAACAAGCATCAGAAGGCTGAGCAGCACGGTTGAGGTGGCAGCTCACTGTCTGGTGAAGGGCGGGGGGTGCAGGCAGCTTTTATAGAGGAAGGTCATGAAACCAGCTTGAAAAGTCTCGGACGTGGGGTGGGTGAGGCAGTGCCAAGAGCTCTGCAGGGAGAACCTAGAGCTGGGCATATGCCTTTGGGTGGTACACTCACCTCTCTGAACCTCGGCTTACTCACCTGTTAAATAGGAACAGATCTAGCTCCCAAAATGAATGCTTAGATCCTGCATGTGAAGTGTTCAGTGCGCTGGACATGATAGTTCTTACTATGAGTCAAGGGAACTCCGGGAGGAAAAACCAGGGTAAGCAAAACTCAGAAGTGTGAGAGGACCACCCTTAGCCCTGGAGGGCGGGCTCTGAATCTGTATGCCCCAGATCTGCCGCCTGGCATAGGGCTGGGCTGAGCTTGGGAAATTGGCAGGGGCTGGATGAACTTCTGCTGGATGAATGAGTGAGAGAATGAATGAATGAAAGATCACCCACCAACCCACCAGCCCTTCGGCATTGCAGCCCAGTCCTCTCTTCTGTACGTCACCGGGGAGCAGATGGCGTGATTGCAGGGTGTGAATTATGTCTGTCGCTCCCCCATCTGGGGAAGGTGCTGCTGCCATCACACTACACCCCCTGGGGTGCCGTCGGGAGACTCAACTCGTGGGCCCCTCCGGAGAGGGGTCTCCACAGACTTTGCCCACTCGTCTTTGACTCGGTGCTAGAGACACTGGGAGAGGTGAGCCACCTGTGACCCAGGGAGAATCCACCAAGTGGCAGGGAGGAAGGGGAGAGGAATGGAGACCACCCTGTCCAGAGGCTGGGTGCCTCCCTCCCAGAGACTGGGGCCCTCTCCTCTCAAAACTAGCAGGCTTGCCACGCCCTTGCAGGCTGGAAACCCCTCCTCCAAGGCCGGCATTCTCGTGCCACCCACATTCAGCACCAGGGAGAGCTCCTGGCACAGCCTTGGGCCCAGCCACACAGGGTGCAGTTGTGGAGGGATGGAGAGGCTGACAAGGCAATAAATGAGCCCACTGTCCAGAAGAGGATATCAAAGTGGAGGGAGGGCAAGTGCCAAGCTCAAGGTCAATCCAGAACCGCTAACCACAGCCCTGTCCAAGCTGGGGGGGCCTGCTGGGGGACGCAGGGGGCTGCTGAGGGAAAGGGGGTGTCCAGGGAGGGCAGAGGCTCTGGCCTCTGCTCCTTGGCTAGGGAACAATATTGTTCCAAGAACCCTCTAGGGACAGTGTCTGGAGGTGAATAAAATATTCATCGTCTAGGCAAACTCACACAGTCACTTGATGAATAATGGAATTTATAGACTTGCAGAGGCCGACCCAGCTGGGAGGGTGTGTGGGCCGGAATCTAGAGGCCCCTGTCGGCTCTGATCCCGCCCTGCCATGGGCACCCCGTCTAAGCCTTCAGATGTCCAGCTCCCGTAGGTGACAGGGGTAGACACGACAGAGCAGGAGACAGAGCCCACCAGAAGGACACAGAGCAAAGGGGACAGGTCCTTGAATTTGTTGCTCCATGAGAAGAAACTTGGTGATGGAAAAAAAGAGCACTGGACTCAAGAGTCCGGTGTGGCTGGGATGAATCCTAACTGCTGTTACCAGTTCTATGTCCTGAG